AATAATTTGTCCCTAATTGTGCAGTATATACATGTTCATGCAAAAAAAATAAATTGAAGCACATGAAAAAACAAAATCAAAATATTCAATGCATCATTCATCATTTGAAAATAACTACTGCTAATGTTTCTGTGTGTCCTTCAGATCCATGCTCACTGGTCACCATGCATATTTGATCCTTCAGTTCTTGGCTGAAGGCAGCATAAACTGGCTCTAGCTAATTGTATCACTTAAGGCTGCTCTACTGAAAAAGTCCCCACATAATGACAGCTTTACTCCACACAAATTTATTTCTTGCTCACTGGATGCTCACAACAGCCATCATTGCTGGGAAGACAGATGAGCTATGGTTTGTATGTGTCCCCCAAAAGTTCACTTGTTGGAAACTCTATCCTCCATTCCCATGTTAGTAGTTTGTGGAGGTGGGCCTTGGGACATACTTAGCATTAGATGAAGTTGTCAGAGTAGTCCCCCAAGATGACAGACCTACTGTAGGAACCCTCAGAGGCTTCCTAGTGAGAAATTACCCAGGGTCAGAGAATCAGAGCTTGATTTACCCAGCAGGGCTGCAGAATGGGATGATTCGACCATGGGCGTGTTTACCAGGTGTTTGGAAGGGTCTACACTTGGCTGTACGGTGTGCTTTGATCTTTCAAGAGGGAGGTCTTTTGCCTCTCCCCTTGGCATATCACAAGAAGCCCTCTTGAATAAATGAAGGGGCTGTTGGGTTTTGACCCAGGCCTTCCCGAAGCTCTCCTGTGTTTCTGTCTTTCTTCTCATCATCTAGGTCTCTCTTTCTATCTGATATTTCCTCATTCCTATCTCCTCCACCTAAGAACCCTTCAAAAGGTGGGAGCTGGACTCCCACACCCCACCCACCTGATTGCCAGGAAAAGATCTAAAGGCAAGTTCATTGCCAGTGATGAATCAATACTACCCACTTATCAGAGCCTCCATGAGAACTAAGAACAGGTTTCTGAGTATTCCTGGAGAGCCAAGCCTGTGAAGGACCTGGAAAGGGACACACTCTGAGAAAGCACATCAGCTTGTTGCCCTTTCCCAGATGAGCCCAACAAGTCCCTCCCATCTGTCCATTCAGCTGTGTCCTTTGTACTGTCTTATTGAACTGAACTCTATGAACTGCTCTCACAAATCCTTCAAACCTAAGGAAGGTGGGCATCAGGCAACCTGTTTAGAGCCAGTGGGTCAGAGGCACTGGTCACAACCCATGCCTGCAGGCCACCTGAAGTGAAGGACAGTCTCCTGGGACTGAGTCCCTCCCCTGTAGAGTCTTCCCTGTCTCCAAGTGGACAGGGTCAGAACAGCATGAAACAGAGGACACTCAGCAGCAGAACTGCTTGCTAGGCTGTTGGTAGGGAGAACACCCCCACCTACCCACCCACACCCATACACCACCACCATCACAGTAACAGTTGTAAGTACTCAGCCTACAAATCATTAAGATCACTGTCAAGTGGGGGATCTGATAACTCAGGACTATCCCAGTTACTCCAGAGGCTGAGTCTGGGGGATCAAACTGTCAAGACCAGCCTGGACAATGCAGTGAGACTGTCTCTGGGAAAAAAAAAAAAAAGAAGTGTTGTTTAGTGGTAGACTGCTTGCCTAGCAGACAAGAAGCCCTGGGTTTGATCCTAACATCAGGGGGAAAAAGTATGCTGAGCAAAAGCTGGCAAGCTAAAATAGCATTGCATTTAAATTTAAATGGAGGTCAAGAGTAGACCAACTCTGAGTTGCTAGAATTCAGAACAGTGGGCAAATTTACAGGGCAACAGAATTGTCCCATATCCGATTCATCTGACTCAGGTGGCCATGTGAGTGTGTCCATGTGCAAAAACACACCGAGTTTTGTGTGTTTTGCTATTATGCTATAATCGAGCGCTGAGAAATTTCAAAGTTAAAAATCATGCTCCCCCAGTCAGGTGAGCTACACTAAGTACTCGGGTGATGCTCACCTTCTCCATGTCAGTCCCAGCTTCTAGGGATGTGGGAGAATTTACTCCTCCTCCTTGGATGCTGGACCTACTGCGCCTGCTGCCCAGTGTGCTCGAACCCCATTGGCATCTTCTGTGAGAACTGGGGTGGGTAGGCATTCTCTGTACTTCATAGGGACTTACTGACCTAGCCCCTCACTGTTCCTCACTGGCAAAAAACCAAAACCAAACAGAAAACCCCCCAGCATCCCATCACTGAACTTGTATTTTTCTAGTTGATGGTGAGACTGCCTTTTTTTTTCCTTTGAGACAGGGTTTCTCTGTGTAGCTTTGTGCCTTTCCTGGAACTCGCTTTGGAGACCAGGCTGGCCTCGAACTCACAGAGATCTGCCTGGCTCTTAAAGGTGTGCACTGCCACGGCCCGGCTCCTTTTCGACTTCTTTGTTCAGAGCCTGGCATTCTCTAGGGCTGTGCCAGCCGCTCAGCAGGGAAGAGGTGACTTGTGTCATTGCTAGGACAAGAGGCAACTTCAGGGGGAAGGGCTTATTTTGGCTCATGAGTTGAAGGTCCAGGTCCAGCATGGACTGGGAAAGCATGTCAGCAGGAACAAGGCAGTTGCTCACAGGGCCCCTGCCGGGGAGCAGAAGAGAGGAAGACGAAGGTGCACAACTGGATTTCCCTTTTTATTCAGCCCGGGATTCCAGTTCACGGGACGGTGTCATACCCAGGATAGTCTTCCCCGTCTGGATGCACCTCTCTGGAAACACCCTCACAGACCTGTGCAGAGGTGTCTCAGGGACTCCCAACCCAGTCAAGCGGACAATGAAGACAATCCATCACACGGTCTTTTTCATTTTATTTTGAGAGTGTCTTGCTATATAGCCCTGGCTGGCTTATTTTTATATAGCACAGGATGGCCTCACACTTTTGGCCATCCTCCTGCCTCAGCCTCCTGAGTGCCGGGATTATAGGAGTATGCCATCACACTCAGCTCTGTTTCTTCAGGCCTGGCCTTTAGGATCTCAAATTTCTCTCTAAATTGCTTATCTGTTTGTTTTTCCAGTTAGAGTTTCTAAAGAATTCAAAGCCAGTTATTTGGACTCACATTTTTTTTCATTACATTTTTATTTGTGTGCATGTGCTTGTATGTGTAGGAGGGGCACATGCCACAGTGTAAACGTAGAGGCAGAGGACAACTTTGCAGATGTCAGTTTTCTGCACGTTTGTCCTGGGGCTCGAACTCAGGCCATTCAGCTTGACAGCAGGCCTCCTTTGCGGACTGAGCCATCTTGCCAGCCCCACATTTGAAAATGTTCCCTCACCTCCAGGCTAGCGGGACTGCGATGTGTCTGTTTCTTAGTGAACTCTAGCCCTCTCCTCCCAGCCTCCTGGGCTGACAGCACTGTACTGTTCTGACAGTTGAGACTGCTCAGAGTGGGTCTTGGGGTTTAAAGCACAGGAAACCTGCATGCTTGGAACACATTTTGCTACTGGATCTGGCTAACAGCTGCAATAGGAGAATTCGTGGAGGGTGCGAGGGACTAAGGGGCCAAGACTAAAGAGAGCTTGCTTTAGAGACCACGGATGGGAGGCTTTGGCAAAGGAAAAACTGCGGAAGGGAAATGAAGCTGTGAGGGCTGAGCCCATGTGTTGGAGGATGAGGTCAACCCCACACTCTGGTCTGGAGTACTATGCAGCTTGCTGGCACTCTGCTAATCATGAACCAGCACCAGTGATTGCAGGACTGACCAAAGCTGTGGGAAGATCTGGACGTACACATTTAGCATCCCAGAACAGTGGTATAATGGAGGTGAATGAATGAGTCAGCTGATTCCCCGGAGAAGGGAGTGATTTTTCCAAACTACTGTCCTCTTTGGCTTTGTGTGAGTGTACATGTATGTGTGTGCACACACATTTCTGTGGGTAAATGTGGGTATGCACGTCACAGCATGTGTGTGGAGGTCAGCAGACAACCTTGTGTCTTGGTTCTTAACTTCTACTTTTTTGGTTTGTTTCGAGACAGGGTTTCTCTATATAGCCCTTGGCTGTAGACCAGGCTGGCCTCGAACTCAGAGATCCACCTGCCTCTGCCTAGTGCTGCGACTCAAGGCATGAGCTACCATACCCAGCCTTACCTTCCACCTCTTTGTTGTTTTCCTTTCTTCCTCCAGGCTGGCCAGTGTTTGAGCTTCCAGCCAGACTCCGGTGTTTGTCCCTCATCTTCCCGTGGGAGTGCAGGCATTGCAAATGCTCCCGCCACATCTCGGGCTTTGACAAGGATTCTGGGGGATTTGAACTAGGGGGCTTACACTAACTAGTGCAGCAAACACTAACCAACTGAACCACCTCTCACCCCCACCCACCATGTAGCTTTTTTACATCCAGGCAGAGTACTTTGTAGCGAATAACAATAACAACGGCCCACATTGACTGCTTTCTCTGTCAAGCACTACCTAGGGATTTTTATTATGTATCAACATTCCTTACAGGCCTGTGAGGCAGATACTTTTTTACAGATCAAAACAAAACAAGTGAAGCAATGAAGTAACTCGGTTACACAGCTAGGGACCTGCAGAGTCAATCCCACACCCCAGCTACTGATGGGTTAATTCTGCAAAGAATAAACCAGGGTGTGGTTCCAACTCAGCTGCTGACTGCTACAAGCTTGGGCAAGCCATCCTGAAATCACTCAGGAGGAGATTCTGGAAGCTGTGACTATGTTCACTATCTCAATTAAAGGGATGGCTTAATGGGGGTATATAAGGATAGCCAAATGTATCAAATGGTACACTTTATGTGCAATTTGTTGGGTGCCAATTATTCCTCAATAATAGCATTTTAAAAAACAGATCACAAGTGCATAACGGAAGAAAAATATTTGTAGTTTTCTATAGTGGCCATCATTGGTTCTATGTGGTTCCATTACAATGTTCAAGTCTGATGCATCAAATTCATTGTCATTTTGAATCTAACATTGCTTTGACAATTGAGACTCTCGCTATGCTTCAGAAGAACAAACTGTCTCCAAATTAAAACTAAAAGACACAATGACTCAAGAAATGTTTTAGAATTCCACATTACTAAAATTAGAACAAAGAATGAAAAGATGTTGCTTATGACAACATGGTGAGTTTGCTGAAGTTAAAAATAAATTTAACTTAAAAGTAAAAAGTGGCACCCACCTTTAATCTCAGCACTTACGGAGACAGAAGCAGGCAGATCTCTGAGGCCAGCCTGGTTCTGCACAGTGAGTTCCAGGACAACCAGAGCTACATAGTAAGATCCTATCTCTAAAAAAACAAACAAAAAAGTAAATTTTATGAACTAAATATGAAACAATCTCACCCTTAAAGCCTTCTAGAGGCATCTCAGTCCCCCAAAAAGTTTGACCCCCAACAAAGGTCCATCTCTCCATTTCATTCTCTGCTCCAGAGGCAATGGTCCCTTTGCATTCCTTCGAAGCCAAGGTCTTCCCACTTGGCCTTCACTCTTCTCTGGCACTTTCCTCCTCAGCCCTGTAGGATCCACCATGAGGTTCACCAATGCCAGGACACCTCTTGACCACAGAGAACACCCAAGAAAACTCTTCCTTCCCTACCCTTATCACAGCACACAGTAGGGGCTTTATCTCCAACTTATTGTCCTCTGCGGTGGTGAGAATCGTGCCCGATTCTGTGTCCTATACCTTCTTCAGCTAGGCCACAAAATGTGTCACAAACACTTGGATGTCACATCGTCACTCCCATAGCTCTGTATCCCCAAATAAAGGTGACATCAACTCTGGGTGAAGGCCAGCTCCCAGAAGGAAGTGGCCTCTCAGAGACCAGAGTCCATAACCCACAGAAACACCAGAGGACACTTGGGCTATGCCTACTCAAGCAAGATGACAGTGGGTGAGGAGCTCTTTCAGTGAGTTCTTTACAACTCCCATGGTGTGGGTCACTCAGATACTCAGGGACTGCTAGCTAGTCTGTGAGCAACTCAAGGACCCAGGTGTCACCATAGAGCAGGCACACACAAACCATGGCATGATCACGTGCTCCATTTTCTGTGTATGCTGAGCCCTTGACACACTCCCCATTCAATTAAAGTAGCTATGGAGACAGTTGCTCCTGGGCTGGCCGCCCCTCCACCCTTCAGTCTTCCTTCTCTTTGCCCTCCTCCTCTCTCTTCTATTCCTTCCCTCCCTTCCTCCCACAGTTAATGCTGAGGATTAACCTAGGGCATCAGGAATGCTAGCCAAACACTTCCCCACCCTTTCGGCTCTTTTTATGTTTGGTGGTGGCGGTACACTTGTGTGCCAGAGGTTGACATAAAATGTCTTCCTCAATCACTCTCCATCTGATTTTTTGAGACAAGGTCTCTTTTGAACCCGGAGGCTCCCTGATTAGACTGTCTGGCCAGCACGCCCCAGGGATCCTCCTCTCTCTGCCTCCCTAGTGCTAGGATTACTGGCTGGGGTTGTTGCTATGCCCAGCTTTTATGTGAGCGCTGGGGGTCAAACTCGGGTCCTCATGCTCGCACAGAAGGATGCTACGACCCAAGCCCTCCTCTTACTTTTGGAGATATGGAGGGACTAAGTTGTCCAGGTTGGCCTTGGATATACTCTGTAGAGCAGAAGGCAGGATTCTCAGCCCCCGGAGTAGCTGGGATTCTGCCACCAGGCCTGGCTGGACTAGGCGCTCCTCTCATTTTGTAGAGAATGGAGTGGCGCAGAGAGAGATTTAATTACTTGCCCAGAGTCACACAGCCAGTGAGAGGCCGAGCTTCTCCAAGCAGAAGTTCCATGTGATAGTGAAACAAGAATTTGGATGGCAACTGTTCTGTAGGCCAGTAAGTATCCCTTCATTGGAAAGCCCCATTTCTTCCCCTGCCAAGTACCAGCCCTGCCATCCTAGGCTCTGGAGGTCCCGAGCGGTCCTCTCTCCCCTTCTCACTGTTCTGATCCTCTGTGGCTTCAGCTCCTTTCCATTTTAGGGGTGGGGGGTCAGGGATTATCTCTGCCTCACTAATGGCTGTTCTGCTTTCCATCTCCTCCAGGCAAGTGCTCCCCACTGCCTCTCCTTGACCCTCTCTCCCTCCCCACACTCTTTCTCTGGGCCAGCCACTCAAACCTGTTTGTCAAGCTCAGCCCTCTCCATGAGAGGGCACACCCAGCTCTCATGGTCACCGCTTGTTGTCACCACCCAGAATGTGAGGCTGTCTGTGTTCTCAGCTCTAGCTCCAACACTGGGCCCACCTGAGGGCTACCTGCCCTCCACCTGGGAGCTCTGCAATGTTTGGGATGCAGGCTGGAGTTTTAGAAGTTTTCAGATCAGCCAATGTAATGCCTCATGTCTATAATCCCAGCATTTGGGAGCCTGAGGTTGGGGGATCCTGAGTTTAAGGGTGGTCTAGGCTATGTTGCAAGACCTTGTCTCAAAAGCCAACAGTATACCAAAACCAGGAAAAGAATAAAAAGTTCCAAGTGATCCCTTTGAGCAAGCCAGGTTCTTGCTGGCTCTATAGCCATCATGCTGTTTGGTCCTTATAGATGTCCTGTGAGAAATATGGGTACTTGACAATGACCTGTCCCGGTAGTGGAGAAATAAGCCCAGAGGCAGAGGTTCATGAAGGTGGAGATATGGGAATGAGATCCCAAATTCCTGACCAGTTCTGGATCTGCCCAAAGGTGATTGTTCTACAGGGGTAAGATCCAGAGGGAGAAAATCCATGTTCCTGGGAACAGACGCTAGAGGCCTGGCTTGATTTCTCACGGGTATTGAGTCGTTTGTATCCCTATGGCACGCATGAAAGAGGAGCTTCAGCCACCGGATCAAAACCCAGGTCAGAGGATCCCACGGACCTGGGCAGGGCGGCTTCTTCTTCCAGGTAAAGGGCTGCACCAACAGAAGCCTAGGTAGCCTAGGCCAGAGGGGCCTGCAATATTCTGATAGCGCTGCAATGGCCGTTCCACACCCACAGTCATGATGACACCCGTTGAGAGCAGCCTAGAGAAGTTGAAGATTGGACCAGCTGGCCTTGTCTGCTTCGGCACCCGTGAGATCTGCAATACTGGACCCACTAAGGATGGTTCTGCCTCGGCTGTTTTGTGCACTGACATGTTGGGGGTGGGGTACCCACTTCTGAGAAAAGAAGGATCACTATCCATCCTTGAGAGACTTGGGAGACGTCACTGCTCACATGTGACCGACGTCATCACTGCTCACAGCTGGGAGACGTCACTCCTCACCCTTGGGGCACTTATGAGGTTTCCAGCTGTGGACAGTAGAGAGGCCAGTGTCCAAACTCAGGCCACCTGAACACCACTGTTCACACCTGCAAAGGCTAAGGGTCATCCAGCCTTCAAGATGCCCAAGGGGAACCAGCAACCTCAAGATCTCGACACCACCACCCAGGGCAGCCACCCACCCCAACTCGCTCAAAAATGCAACAATCTGAGGCAGGCCCCAGAGCACACCCCTGCAGTGACCGAACAGAAGGCGACCACACCCCGAGGGAGAGGCCGGGTGGGGTCGGCGACACGCACGCAGTCCTCCCAGTCCAAGCTCCCGGGCCAGGGTTCGCAAACACGAGGTCCTCCTGCAGGCCAGCGGAACCCAGAGCGGACCAACGCCGCGGACCCAAGCAAGGGCAAGGGGCCGGGCTCAGGGCGGCGTGACAATCGGCAGCGGGCGCCCTCCAACCCGAAACCGAAGCCCTCCACCACGAAGCCCGAACCCTCCACCCCGAAGCCCGAACCCTCCTCCACCCCTGATCCCCCCACCATGGCCCGCGGCGGCAGTCAGAACTGGAGCTCCGGGGAGTCGGATGGCCAGCCAGAGGAGCAGACGTCCGAGGAGAGCGGGTGAGCGAGCGCGCGCGCGCGCCCGGCTGGCCCGGGAGAACCGAGCCCGGGAGCCGCCGGAACCTCCGCGAAGGTTCTGGGCCTTTGTGGCGTCACGCCTCCTAGCGGAACCTTCCGCCGGCGCCGAATAAAAGCCCGCGGCGGAGGCGCCGGCGGCTCGAGTGCGGCTGTGCCGGGCGCGCAAGTGGGTCCCGGGCGCACGCTCGGGACGGAGCCCCGGCGAGCGGCCGCGACAGAGACGGTGACGCGCAGACCGGCGGCGGCGGCGGGGGCGCGGGCCGGGAGCCCCGGGGGGCGTCGGGGACGCGCTGACCCGCCTCGCCCGCCCGCCCCACCCCACCCCGCAGAGACAAGATGGTGAAGGAGACCCAGTACTATGACATCCTGGGGGTGAAGCCCAGCGCGTCCCCGGAGGAGATCAAGAAGGCCTATAGGAAGCTGGCGCTCAAGTACCACCCGGACAAGAACCCGGATGAGGGCGAGAAGGTGCGGGGATGCGCGGGGCGCCGGGGTCACGGGAGGACCCGGGCTGTGAATTATTGACGGCGGCGGCGCGGAGGCTGTCGCCAGGCGCCGCGCCAGCCGGAGGGAGGCCGCGGGGCGCGGTCAGTGGGGGACAGCAGCCCGGGTGCGACTGGTGCGGGGTGCGAGCCCCAGCAGCCGCCCGTGCCTGCATTCACTCTACAAGTGTTTGGGGAGCCCCTGCCTCCCGGCTGTGAGGACCCTGGTGGGCTCCAACACTGACCTGTGGGAGCGCAGCTCTCAGAGCTACTGCTGGCGTTCCTATGGGAGAGGACATCAGCAAATCAGGAACCCCCGGCACCGGGGTGTGCTTGGTGGGCTCCCCGGCAGGCAGCGAACTACTTTTGTGTTTATATTCCATTTGTTGCATAAGCCCTAGGGATGAGTTTCTGTGATCTCAGTTGTACCCTAGACAAACCCAGTGTCCCTTTTGAGAGGGACTGAGTGGATTTGATCTGTGAGGCCACCTCCTGCCTGGTACAGTTTTTCGTCACTTTTTTTGTTGTTGCTGTTAAAACAGGGATGCAGAAGTCTGTAACCTGACACGTCTGTTTATAGTGAGAACTCCGGGTTTCCTGTGACAAATGACCCACACTTGACCATAAGTACCGACAGATAATAGGCTGAAATGTGCTGCATATTAGTGACCTAAATTAAACCTTTTCATCCTGTTTACAGAAATAAAACATTCTTCATGTTGTTCCCAAAGAGGACATGCCCCACCTGAATAGGAGAGCTGGCTAGCTATCCCGTTTCCCCCTTCACGTCTTGCTGTTTACAAATGCCGGGCGGTGGTGGCGCACGCCTTTAATCCCAGCACTCGGGAGGCAGAGCCAGGCGGATCTCTGTGAGTTCGAGGCCAGCCTGGTCTACAGCGCGAGATCCAGGAAAGGCGCAAAGCTACACAGAGAAACCCTGTCTCGAAAAAACCAAAAAAAAAAAAAAAAAACAAACAAACAAAACAAAACAAAACTTTGGATGTCCCAGATGAGTTTGGGGAACCAGTGCCGTGGTAGAAGCCGATAGCAGTGGTGCCTGGACCACTCTTGGAGCCACTGTCACCCCCATCGAGCATTTAGACCCGTGGAAATGACACTGGGATCAAAACACCCGTCTGTGTTTGTAATTCCAAGCTGGAGCAGCCATGCTACTTAGGAAGGTTGGCTGGTGGTGGCAATGATAGAATATTTATATTTAGCCACATGTGCCGAATGTGGCTGTCACAAGTTTAAAATGCATCCCTGTAAGACCATTATACCCATTTGTGTTCTTTCTGATCTATATTTAGGTGGCTTACTGTAGCTGTTAAAGTCACCCACCGGCTTTCGGCATTCTGTCAGTGATTCACAGATGTGTTCCCTCAGTTCCCTCTTGTCTGTCGCTGACATTCTTTTGTTGATATTTTTGTGTGTATGGGTGTTTTGCCTGAATTTGTATTTGGGCACCACATGCCTGCCTGGTGTCCTTGGACGCGAGAAGATGTTGGGTCCTCTGCAACTGGAGTTACAGATGGTTGTTAGCCACAATATTGGTGCTGGGAATGGAACCCTGGTCCTCTGCAAGAGCAGCCAGTGCTCTTAACTCCCAAGCATCTCTCCAGCCCTCTGGCATTTTCCTTTAAGGAGAGCTTCTAGGCTTCTGACTTCATGTTCGACTTGGGGAAAAGCCTTCCACTCTGGTCTCCGGTCACATTACCGTCACCAAGAGGTAGTTGCCGCTGTTTGCTTACCATTTGAGATGAGAGTGCATTTGGTGTGGCCAAGCTTAAAAACAAATTACAATTGCCTTCTTTACATAGTGTGTAACTTTCACCCCCTACACACCTGCCTGGGCAAGTTATTTGCCCTTTGTTTTAAACTAATATTTATTTATAGCCAGGTACCCAAGTTAGTATTACATAAGTAATTCTTCCTACACAGTGAGATGTGACGGGTCCATCTTTTATTTTTCTGGGAGTGGAGCAGTGTGTACCCACTGTCGGAAGTACGGTTCCTTCTCCACTTTCCATGAAGGGGTGACCCGTTTCCTTTAGTCCTTCACTAAGATGTCTTGGCAGAGGTCACTCCTGACCACAGACTGGCCGGCCAGCCCTCATCCTTGTCCCACTGTGCTGGACCTTCTTAGTTGAATGCCTGTCCCACGTCAGTGGGTGGGTGAGTCTAGCTGTGCGTATGCATGGTGTTTGTTGGCGGGCCGAGTGAATAATGAGGTCAGAAGAAGAAAGACTTTAATTCTGTGACTCCACATGTAAGCAGGAGACCTTCCAGAAGCGGGAGGGAGAGCCACAGTGAAGAAGGACCGGGAGGAAATTCGGGTTGCAAATTGCTAGAGTGTCATCGTGCCCCACCTCCCCCCACTCCCCCGAAGGCACATTCATTCATTCACTCACCAGATAGCTTCTCTCATCCTGTGATGTGCTGGGCACACCATGCAGGCTTGTCCAGGTTTTTGTGAGGATTTGTGTGTAGTTTTGGACTACGTGACTTTTTTATGCTATGGGTGGGAGTTTGTCGTGTTTTGTCACCTAAGTTTGTCACTGTATTATTAATGTCATCTCCACAGCTAGACTGAGTCTGTGCCCTCCCACCTTGTCCTGGGACAGCTGGGAGGCCGTTTGGTGGCAGTCTTTGTTTTCTGCTCTGTTGTCCTGTGTTGCTAAGCAGTGGGCAGCCTGTGTGTGTCCTCAGCCACTCTGCCCTGCGTGGAGCCTAACTTGGTTTTCTGCAAGACACCAAGGGTGGCAGGTCAGCAAAAATAGTCCCTGCTGGGGATGATGGTAGGAGATCACGTACTGAGATGGCTGGTCCTCTGGCCAGGTTCGTTGTAAATTTTAGTTGAACAGGTTTTCAAGATAAAATCTTAGCACACAGCAACAGTGCAGAAAGTTTCAGAGTCTGAGCTGGGGCTGTCGCTCGGTCGGTACAGCGCTTACCCAGCATGCACAGTGCCCCCCTGGGTTTGGTCCGCAGAGCCACATAAGCCAGGTCTAACGGTTCGTGCCTGCAATTCTAGCACCTGGGAGATAAAAGCAAGTGGGGCTGAAGTTCAAGGCTATTTTTGGCTACATAGTAAGTTCGTGGGCAACCTGGGATTTGTTTAGACCCTGTCTCAAAAAAAAGGAAAAGCCGGAAAGTTCCAGAATATAGAGGAAAAGCCACCCGGAACATGCCTGGTCCGATGGTGTGTCTCCAGGCACCCCCACACCTACCCCCCACTTCCTTCCTTTTGTTTGTTTTTATTTCAGTTACATTCTCATCCAATAGTCCAGGCCAGCTTCATGGCAACCCTCCTGCCTCAGCCTCCTCGGGCTGCAGGGATTATAGGAGTGAGCTACTATACCTGTTTTTTTTTTCTTCACTTAATAATTTATCATAAGCTACGTGACTCTCAGAGCCATTTCTCAGCTGAATTCCATGAAAGGTCTGTGGGAAAGATCACAGAACCCTAATCCCAACTGGGAAGAAAGGAGGTCTCAGCAGCTGAGTTAGACCCTGGAGTGCTGGGTCCTCAGAGGCTGGAGGACCTGTCCCATCAGGTCCGGTCTACAGTTGTACCCTCCCAAGTGACAGGGCAGTTCTGTTCCATTCTTCAGTCCATCTGTTAGGTCCAAGCCTCTTTGGGGGCATCCAGGGTATTTGGCGAGTGTTTGAGTGGGCCCTCCCTCTCCTGGAGCATACTTACCTTCAAAGAGTCCCAGAAGCCCCTGGGGGCAGCCTAGCCTAATTACTTCCTGACCTTTCACACTGTGCCCTTAATCCCTGTGTCTCAGGTTGGTGTGTTTTTATGTTTTTGTTTTGCTGAAGAAGGGAATGCTCCACAAATCGGTGGTGGTGCATGCCTTTAATCCCAGCACTCAGGAGGCAGAGACAGGCGGATCTCTGTGAGTTCAAGGCCAGCCTGGGCTACCAAGTGAGTTCCAAGAAAGGCGCAAAGCTATACAGAGAAACCCTGTCTTGAAAAACCAAAAAAAAAAAAAAAGACAATGGTAGTACATGATACTCACTTCCTTGAAAAAAATATTATAGGAATTAATTCGTCAAAAGATCTAACTGCCATGTATAGGATACCGATGGCTTTGTGTGTGGTAGAGTGTGGGTGTGTGCATGCCTCCACTCTGTGTGGAGGTGAGACAACTTTGGGAATCAGTGCTTTCCTTGTGCCTTGTTTTTGAAGCAGTGTGTTCCTTGTTTCTGCTGCTGTGCGGTGCTGGCCTAGAGCTCCGAGGCAGCCCTCTGTGTTATGCCCAGATTGGGACCCCAAAGACAAACCACCACAGACCTTAGGTTCAGAATGCAATTAGCATGGTTTATTTCTATTTGTTTACAAGCCGCGGACAGGGAAGCTCGATCCAAAGCACTCACTCGTAGTCGTGAGGCCAGGAGGAACTTGCTTTTTCTTTGTGTGGCTAGCTTTTTAAAGGCAAAATCCACAAGCCTTTCAGGGGGGTTGGGGGAATTTTGCACGGGTGCAACTTGGATTGGTTTATTTTTATCTCTGTTCTCTTTTAATTGGGTGAGGGTATGTAACCTTTGAATTTACTGGTTGGTGGTTACAATTTATTACTTTGGGGGCAGTCCAGCACAAGTCCCAGGCTTTGTCCTTGAGCCACCATGGGGGCTGGCTGGTCAAGCACGTACTGCACATAACTCTAAGTTGGTGAGGGGCCCCAGAAAGTAAACATCTGGCTAAACTTTGAGCAGTCTTTTGTTCATGGCCCTCCCAGAAACTGCTTGCTCAAGCCTCAGGAAACTGAAATTGAGGCCTGATCTCTGAGAGAAGACTGAGCAGCCTGTTACGGCATCTGCTTGGTCCTTTCACTCTGTCTCTCCTCCCATCACACTGGAGGATTACAGATGCGCACACCACATCAGCTTTTGTGTGTCCTGGGGATCTGAACTCAGGTCATCAGGTCTGCATGGTAAGCATTTGTGCCCACAGAGTCATCTTCCCCAGGAAGGCTTTTTAAGACTCCTTCCTGGGGGCTGCAGAAATGGCTCAGAGATTAAGAGCACTTACCGCTCTTACAGAGGACCCAAGTTCAGTTCCTGGCACCCATGTCAGGTGGCTCACAACCCCCTGTAACCCCAGCTCCAGGGGGTCTTGCGCCCTCTTCTGGCCTCCATGGGTACCTACATGCACACGTGCACATAAACATAAAAAAAATTAATTAAAACTTTTTAATTTTTTGGATTGATGCTTATTAGCTGTTATTGCTTATTAGGTCTTGGTCAGGAAACTGTGGAACAAGGGGTGACTTAATGTCTCTGTCAATTTTTGTATCTGTGTCTCTGTGGCATTTACTTTCCCTGTAGGTTCCCAAGAGCAGGTAGGATAGTTATAGATACTTCTGTCCCTCAGAGTAAAGATCAACCTCCGGAGGGCCAAGAGTCCACCGCATCTATTTATATCTGAATGTCCGGAATTGAACTATTCATTTAGTAAGTATTTGCCAAATAGTCATCCACACGGCACACACGGTTGTAGGCTCAGGGATGCCCTTGGTACTCCAGGCTGACAGAACCCCTGCCTTCATGGGGCTTGTCTTGCAGTGGTCCATAGCATGAATTAATAGAGGGTAGAGCAAGGCTGTGTGGTGGTGGCGGTGGCGCACGCCTTTAATCCCAGCACTCGGGAGGAAGAGGTAGGTGGATCTCTTGCGAGTTTGAGGCCAGCCTGGGCTATAAAGTGAGTTCCAGGACATGCAGGGCTGTTACACAGAAAATCCTGCCCCCCAAAACCAAACCAAACCAAAAAATAGATGGTGCATGATAGGAAGTAACGCCTTGGAAGGGCTGAGAGACCTGTGGGTGGGTTTTGGGCTTGCAGTTTGAACTCTGGGACATGTCGGGTCAGGCTCCCTGGGAAAGGAGGCTTTAAGCAGAGGCTTGAAGACCTGTGCTTGTCATAGGGACCTCTGGGGCATATGTTGCAGTGTTCAGAAAGAGCAAGGAGGCTGCGGACTGGAGCACAATTGGGATCAGGAACTTGGAAGATGGAGGCAGGAAGATTGTTGTGAGTTTGAAGTCAACCTGGATGACATAGTGAGTTCTAGGCCAGCCTGTGCTACAAAGTGAGACCTTATACAAAAACAAAACAAAAATAACAGAGGCCAGAGAGGAGAGAAGGGCAGAGCTGGGTTGTAGATGGCAGCAAGGACGGTGGCTTGGGAGGGTCACAGGCTTGTGTGTGGAGCAGACTAAAGGAGTGAGGAGGTCACTGAAGTGAATCAGGCCACAGACAGCAAAGGACAGAATTGCATGTTTTAGTGTTCTGTTTTATTTTAGAGAGGTCCATGTTCTTAAGAGTATGACAGGAGCCGGGCGGTGGTGGCGCATGCCTTTAATCCCAGCACTTGGGAGGCAGAGGCAGGCGGATCTTTGTGAGTTCGAGGCCAGCCTGGTCTAGAGAGCGAGATCCAGGAAAGGCGCAAAGCTGCACAGAGAAACCCTGTCTCGAAAAACCTAAAAAAAAAAAATAAAAAAAAAAAAGAGTATGACAGGAAACCTATCCTTCACAACTACAAATAGTCACATAGTTATCCTATTTGCTAGAGCTTTTGTGAGTAATACGCAATTAAATACTATATGTAGCATGCTTTCCCTAGGAGCAAGGACATCATAGTAGTTAGCAAATGTATGACTTTCACATTGGAAACGTATTTAATATTTCCCTATTCGTTCCCATAGCATCTTTATAACCATTTCCCCTGTGCATACAACACTCCAGGGTCAGCCTCCATGTTTAGTTTCCCTGTTTCTTAGACCATAATTACAGGATGCCTCTCCATCAATTTGGGTTTTCTAGTTCTATTTTTCTTGAGTTTTTAAGACAGGGTTTTTCTGTGTAGCCCTGGTTGTCCTGGAATTCGCTCTGTAGTCCAGGCTGGCCTCAAAACTCAGAGATCTGCCTGCCTCTGCCTCCCGAGTGCTGGGATTAAAGACGTGTGCCACCACTGCCCGATCTCTAGTTCTTTCCTTACGATTGGATTCTGGTGACAAATTTTCGGCAGGCATGTCACACAGGGGTATTGTGTCTGTCACCAAGTTCAAGAGTTGCTGGTGGGAGAGTGGCACCACCAGGGCTTGTTGACAGGTGAGGCAGATGAGCATCTCCCCCGTACCTGAGATGAGGGAGATGCCAGGATCAGCAGGCAGGGCTGTGAAAGGAGTACAGGTCTACACGTAGTATCTGGCATGCCAGCAGGTGCTCACAGATGGCTATGGTTGAGTTTCACGCTTGTAAACTAGTGAAATGTTCCTGTAGTTGAAAACCCTGGAGCCCTGGGCTGCAGCTGTTTATAGATGAAGCCTTGCTGGGTCTCCTATCTCCAGGGGGGACTCCAGGTCTTCGGGCTGGTGTTGCCAGGGTGGAGACAAGCTTTTTCTCCCTCCCGATTTCTAGCCCTGTTCTTGGAACAAATTTCTTTCAGATGTTTGTCCCTTGTGTCCCACTTAGCAAGACAGCAGATATAGTGACTGACAGCTGGAGGGACTGGCTTTTCGGATTCTATTTGGAGGCAGGCTTGCTTATAGGAAAACATGAATCCTCTCTGGGACTCATCTCTCTCTCTCTCTCTCCTCTCTTTTCAAAGTTTAAACTTATATCCCAGGCATATGAAGTACTTTCAGATCCAAAGAAAAGAGACATCTATGACCAAGGTGGAGAGCAGGCGATTAAGGAAGGGGGCTCCGGTAGCCCCAGCTTCTCTTCACCCATGGATATCTTTGACATGTTCTTTGGTGGTGGAGGACGGATGGCTAGAGAGAGAAGAGGTAAATGGTTTTTAATTAATCTTTTCCGTGTGTGTGTGTGTGTGTGTGTGTGTGTGTGTGTGTGTGTGTGTGTAACACCAGTGTGTAGGACAGAAGATAACTTGCAAGAGTTGGTTCTCTCCTTCTGAACTCAGGTCATCAAGCTTGGCAATAAATGCCCTTACCCTCTGAGCCATCTTCTCAGCCTGTAATGTTTGTAAAAAATGTAAGCAAGCTTTATGTTGTACATGTTGCAGGAATCAAGATGGATCATGCTTTAAAAGGGGGTGGTGGTTGTATTTGGGGATCTTTAAATAGTTCTGAATTTTAGTATGCAGGGTGCTGGAAGCTCTTGTATACTTAATTATCTGACACCTTTCCATTGCCCCATATAAAAGGAGCGGATGGGATTATAGATAGAATAGAGGAACACACATAATACTAGCATCTGGAAGGCCAGGGTAGGAGTATTACTGAGTTCTCAGCCAGCCTGAGCTGCATAGCGATAACCTGTGGAAGGTCAAGTTCATCCTCTGTTGTGGGGTCAGGCACAAAAGTGTCCAAAGGGACATAATTGACACTTCAGTGCTTAGCAAATCTTCTACAAGAGTGCCCCTCTCCCTCCCCTCTCACCGACTCTTGGGCCCCATCTGGGTCAGGGCAGTAGGCTCCCTCATTATTGTGGTTGTCGGGACACTGCCCTGTTCAGGGTGGCCTCATCCCCAGCCAACATCAGATTTTCTGAGAGGCAGAGTTGACTTCTGTTTTAAAAATCTTTGTAAAATAAATGACCTTTTCAGAATCCACTCTGGTTAGCAGCTTCAATCCCAGGAGATAAATGAGGCCCCACCCCCACCCCCTACCTCCACTGCCTGGGGTTCACGTTCCCCTTACCCTCTTCCTACCCCACCTTCTGTTTTTGAGTCAGGGTTTCATGTGTCCTAGGATGCCCTCAAATTCCCTGTAGCTGAGGGATGATCTTGACCTTGTGATCCTCCTGTTTCTACCTCCCAGAGCTTCATGTATGATAGGTAAAGCACCCTGCCAACTGAGCTCCATCCTCAGCCTCATTTCTCATTTCTCACCTCCAGCCGGCAGAGTTGCTGGCTGGCTGCTGTATTATCGAATTGTCTCTGGCTGATAGCCCCGCCCCTTCCAGCTCACTGCTGATAATCCTATTTGGATCCTAAAACCATATAGACAGCCAAGCCGACTACACTGCTAGATAAAGTCAGGAGAAATATGTTCTTCATTAGTGTTAAGAAGTGTGGCTTTGGTTGGTGAGAAACCCTGCGTAAATGTACTTGTTCTCACATTATAATTGGCCTGGAGCTTTAAAAAGCATGGGTGTTGATTCTGTGCACACAGTGTACTGAAAATCACAGGGTTTATGAGGAAAAAATCCCTCCCCGCCTCTGGGTGTACTGCCTGCTCATGTAATTGACAGTGTGGATGTGATTAAAACCTCAGGCATTCTCTTGCCCAGCTCTCTAGCCATCCTGAAATAAAAAGCTTCACGCCCTTTAATTAAGTCATCTCTCAAAGTTGGCAGCCAATAAACCGGGACACCTTGTCCCAGTGACGCCTAGAACGCCTGGGCATCAGGGAAGGTGTTGCCGTGTTGGTCCCCAGGAGTAGGCATAGGGCCAGTGCAGCCAAGCTGCACCCTGAGGGCTAGCCCCCCACCCCCATCCTGAATGCAGGTCAGGGGAAAGCACTCCTGCTTGGCTGTATACTACAGAAGGGCTTGGAAAGGGCCTGGTGCCCATGCAAGATTTCAGTGATGGGGCTAGAGACTGTCACATTGTCCCTGAGGAAAGGGCTTGCATCCTGTGGAGGATTTAGTTTTGTTGTTTAACTGCCTTTCATCTCTCCCTGTCCTCAGATGTGCTCTCTGAAAATGAAGATGGACAGTCTTTTTTTTTTTTCCTCTAAATTATTGGATAATCAGCCCATAGCTGGACAGGTGGTAGTTCTCCACCTTGGTAGATCTGTAGGATGGGTTGGTTTGATGAAGCATTACTTCTCTGGAGGAGGAGGGCCTTGGCCCCAGCTCTGAATATTGGGAACTTTTTTTTTTTTTAACTTTTTTGGCTCTTTGGAGGCCTGCTGCCCAGCTCCCAAATAAATACACATGGAGACTTATTATTATTTATAAATGCCCGGCCTTAGCTTGGCTTGTTTCTAGCCAGCTTTTCTTAACTTTAAGCTATCACATCTACCTTTTGCCTCTGAGCTTTTACCTTTCTCTATTTCTGTATCTTTTCTTTCCTTATCTTGTGTCTGGCTGGCCCCTTCTTTTCTCACTCCTTGATCTCTCTTGCTTCCCTCCCTCCTCCCAGATTTCTCCTATTTATTCTGTCTGCCAGCCTCACCTGTCCCTCTCCTGCCTTGCTATTGGCTGTTCAGCTCTTTATTAGACCATCAGGTGTTTTAGACAGGCACAGTAACACAGCTTCACAGAGTTAAACAAATGCAACATAAAAGAATGCAACACATCTTTGCATCATTAAACAAATATTCCACAGCATAAACAAATGTAACACATCTTTAATATTCACAACAGGGACTCCATGAGGGTCATGTGGTATAGTATAAGGCAGTGGTCCAATTAGTCCAGTAAATGGCTCTTTCTCCCTCGGCAGGCAAGAATGTTGTACACCAGCTGTCAGTAACTCTGGAAGACTTATATAATGGAATCACTAAGAAATTGGCCCTCCAGAAGAATATAATTTGTGAGAAATGTGAAGGTAAAACCTAATTTTGGAGTGACTCTCATAGTTCAGGTCTCTTGTTTCTACTTGTTTCTAGCTCAGAGAAAAATAGTTGATCTTTTCAAAGCAGATCTTATCCCTTGTGGGGACCAAGCAGGGTTTGTAAACGGTGAACCCTGAAGTCACATCTGTTTGAATGTTTATATTTTTCTGGGTTGAACATCTATTCAGTATGTTGGCATTTATTCTAAGAGTTTCAAAATCTGGACAGTTCTAATGTAGGGGTTGACAGTTTTCCTGTGACGGGTGTGACAGCAAACATCTTAGGCTCTCTTCTGCCATTTCAGTGCAGAATGTGCCTGTGTCCCAGTAAAGCCTTATTCATATTAATATAATTCACGCAAATGTTTAAATTCCTAGTTTTCAAGAAAAGTCATATCTGGTGACCCTAAGAGCCATGTTGTCTCACGAGAGCTAGCCAAGCTGTGACAGCCTGCACTAACAAGGCTTGTGTCCGTAGTTCCTGCAGCCCCAGGTGCTGTGCACCTATGGTATGGGTGTTAGTACCCTGGAGGTTAGATGTTAACGTCTGGATAGGATCTGCTTGACTGTTCCCTTCCACACATCCCCAGTGTTTCTGTAACTAGAGAACTCTAAGCACAGTGCCCAGTGGGATAGGCAGCCCCCTTCTGAAAGGAACGCAGCTCTCCTGCGCCGTCTCCCACCTCCACAGGCATCGGTGGGAAGAAGGGATCCGTGGAGAAGTGCCCTCTGTGCAAGGGGCGGGGGATGCAGATCCATATCCAGCAGATCGGGCCGGGTATGGTGCAGCAGATCCAGACTGTGTGCATCGAGTGCAAGGGCCAGGGCGAGCGCATCAACCCCAAGGACCGTTGCGAGAGCTGCAATGGAGCCAAAGTTATCCGGGAGAAGAAGATTATCGAGGTACACGTGGAGAAAGGTGAGGCTGCGCAGTTAGCGCTGTAGGGCCCACTCCACCAATCATGGTGCACACTGGGTAGGTGTCAGGGATGCGGCTGTGTGGCGGCATGTTTACAAGACAAGGGCTGTCAGGAGTCCCTTTTCAGGTCATCCTCCTATGACCTTTCCTGGCCTGAGGAAGGACCAGTGAGGTCACAGAAAAAATTTTCAAAGTTTTCCCAAAGCTCTGAAAGCCTTGACTTCAGGTCTGGTCAACTGCCCTCACCTGTCCTTCCCAAAACATCCTTTAAGAATCTTCTGACATATAAGTCTTCTCAACAGCTTTTACTGCTGTTGGCTGCCAGAGCTTTTAAAGATTTTTGGACCTGTGTGTTTCCCCCGTCGCCTCCCCCACCCCCAATCTTCCCCTCTGCTGCTCCAGAGTCTCCCAAATTCAGTGCCTTTCTTTACTGTTTCATCTGGTACCATCATCTTAGGCCCATTTCAGTCCCTTCTGTTTTTCCAAAAATCCTGATTCTGTGACTTTCTGATCCAACAAATATGTTATATATCGGATGAGACCAAAAATCAAACCATCAGCTGCTAAAAGACCTTTCACCTGCCTTCACCTTGTGTCTGTGAACATTCTCTCGGCCTCAGGCTACAGAGCCTGAAGTGGGTGGTGGCCTCCCAGTGGGTGCCCCTAGCGTAGCGCCCCAGCACCTGGGGCTGAGGAGTGTGATGTGGTCAGATGGGGATCTTATTTGCCCTCCCCCTGCTTCACCTTTGACTCAGCCAGTGGTGGAAGTCAAGCCTTTGCTTGGCAGTTAGTTATTCCAGCTACTCCAACACTGTGCCCACGGGAGGGGAAGGGTTAGTGAGTTAAGAACACCAAAGATCTCTGTCCCTTCAGAAGCTCTGAGCTCCAGCTGTGAGAAGCGGCTAATCCGAAGGGTGATGTTCCATAGGTATGAAGGATGGGCAAAAGATACTGTTTCATGGAGAAGGAGATCAGGAGCCTGAGCTGGAGCCTGGTGATGTCATAATTGTGCTTGATCAGAAGGATCATAGTGTCTTTCAGAGACGAGGCCATGATTTGATCATGAAAATGAAAATTCAGCTTTCTGAAGCTCTTTGTGGCTTCAAGAAGACAATAAAAACGCTAGATGATCGAGTCCTCCTTATTACATCCAAGTCAGGTAAGGCCCACCCTCCCTGTTCTGCACGCTTGCTGCACAGTGGCCTGGCTTCACAGTCACAGCTCGATACTCTAAAGCTTTTTAAATAATGAAGTCATCTTATTCTTCTAAAGATATATTTTATTTTTAATTATGCATATGTGTATGTGTTCTTATATGGGTTATGTGCACTTGTATAAATGTTCCCGTGGAAGCAGAGGAGCTTCCTGGAGCTGGAGTTACAGGCAGTTGTGAGTCACATGACATGGGAACTGAACTCTGGTCCTGAACTATAAGAACATTACCTGTTCTTAATTGCTCAATCATGTTTCCAGCCTACAGTATGCTGTATTGTATGTATGTGTGTAGGTCAGAGGGTAACTTTAGGGAGTCGGTTCTGTCCTGTGCCATGGGTTCTGGGGATCCCACTCTGGTCGTCAGGTTGTGCAGTCAGGGCCTTTACCAGCTGCGCATCGCATGAGCCTCACGCTATGAAGTCCCCACCCATGACGGGAAAATATGATGAATTTCTTTAATATACTCTTAAGTAGGAAGAGGACCCTTAAGTAAGAATCTCCTGAGTCTGAAATTTTACTGGAATCTTCCAGTTAAGCTTAAAATGGACACATCTGGTAGCAGAACATGGCTGACAGCAGGTCTTTTCTATCAAGTGGGTCTGTGCTGATTCTTGTATGTTCCTCTGGTGTCTAAGCTGTTACATATGAGGACTTTTTCAAATAGCATTTTCCTGAAGAAAAAAAAAAAAGACATTAGCTGTGAGTGTCTCTTCAGAGGCTTCCACAGGAACTGACTGCACACAGCACCCCGGAGAGCTGTCTCTGGGCTGAAAAGGAGCCCCAGGACCCCAAGCTCAGCCTCTCAGTGCTTGTGTACAGACCAGGCCCTCAGCATCCAGGAAGGCTGATGTTTACACAAGTTATGGGCCCCTGCAGGCTCTAGAGCACCTGTGGAGAAGGGACTGGGGTTGAGGCTCGGCTAAAGGCAGCTGTGCACAGCCAAGATGTCCGCATAGCATGGAAGAAGCTAAGCAAGCGAGGTGCCTGGGGTCTCAGCACAGGCAGGGTTTACCAGTGTGTGTGGGGGTGCTGGGAGGGGTAAGTGACTGATGGGCCTGTAGCACAGGTGGTGGGGGCTCAAGCTAAAACTGAAGTCCTGTGGGGCAGGCGAGCACCTGCCTCTGTGGCCAGCCTCCAGGCCCACTCCTGCCTCTGCCCATTTCCCCTCCCTGTCTCCTCCTCTTCCTAGCCTTGTCTGTCCACCCCCTCCAATTCCTCCTTTGCTGGAGATGATAGGAATTGAGATTGCATTTCTAAACTGATCAATTTATGGTAATTTTTAAAAACTTGAGTTTCAAACTTACACCTATACATGATGGTGTGTACACATAATCCCAGTACTCAGTATGCTGGAGCCAGAGATTGCAAGATTGAAGCCAGCCGCCTGGGCCATATAGCAAGATGCTATTTCAATGGAGCCTGGGTGTGTGTGTGTGTGTGTGTGTGTGTGTGTATGTGTGTGTGTGCTGGGGATGTAGCTCAGTTAGTAGAGTGCTGGCTTAGTTTAGCACTCTCGAAACTCTAGGTTCAATCCCCAGTATCATATAAACCAGGTGTTTATATGGTGCAGGCCTGTAGCCCAGCATGTGGGCCTGAGCAAGAGGATCAAACTTAGAAAAAGCTGTAAGAATGAGACTGTCTCAAAAAATACACTTTTCAAACTTACGAAAAGTTGTAGAGATAAAAACACACAGGGTCCACCAATAAGCAATTTGCCACTGACCTTTGACCCCATTTGCTCTTCCCTCTGTGACATATACTTAGGATCAGTGGGAAGCACTGCCCTGTGAAGTTTCAAAGTCAGGCGCCTTTTTATGGGCTCCACACCACAGCCCTCCAGGTGCCCTGTCCTTCCTGTCACTTGAAGTATTACGTTGAGGGACTGTGGTCCACACAAGGCCTTGAGGTCACTTAACAGAACCAAGCCTGGTGGTGTATCTCAGACCCCAAACGTTGTCACAGCCCAGACTCCAGCCATTCTGAGAGCCAGGGCTGGTGGCATTTGTGTGACTTCTTTGGAAAAGTCCGTTCTTGGCCAAGGGTGGATAACAGGAGTTCAGGTCATCCTGGCATAACTCCCAGAGGCCGGGCCCTGTTTAGGGGGAGCACTCCCTCTACCTTTCCTGACCGCAGCCTGGGGAACGTGGGAGTCAAGGACAGAAGTGGGGGTTATGGAGAAGGAGCCCCAAAGGGAGGGAAACATTAGAAACCCATTTCCTTGCTAGGTGAGAGAAAGGGCGGAGCATCTAGAAAACCTGATGGGGTTGCTTTGGGGTATTTTGTGTGGGCGTGTGCATCCTGCTCTTTCCTTTTCTCCTTTTCTATTGGTTTCTCTTTCATCCCCCACCCCCTTTCACTGTTGACTTGAGAGGACTCATGTGATTAAAGCAGGGGTGCCTCTGGCAGAAGCGGCTTTTCCCTCTTCTCCCGGATGGTTTTCCACTCTTGGCCTCAAGGTCCCCATCTCCCAGCAAGTCCAGGCAGCTTTGGGGGCCGGGCTGGGGAAGGAACAGCACTAAGTGGCACCTGATGAAACAGGAACAGAAAGGGGTTTCCAGACCACCCCACTAACAGCACAGAAGCCCAGCAAACCATGCCTGTTCAGCTAAGCAGTCACCTGACCGCCCCACAGTGATGAGGGATGAGCCCTAGGATAGAGTGCGTTGGCACAGTGTGTGTTTCAAAACCTCTGATGAACTGGAAAAGTGGGAAAGAAATTCCACTTTCTGTAGAGTGCTGTCCCCTGGGGAGGAACAGGGAAGGAACTGCTGAGTAAGTTAGTCCTTAGCTCCCTTTATCCCTTCCCCACTTTCTCTGAACATTCCTTTTCTTGTCCATCATCATCTCTGTTTTGTGGTACTGCAGACTGAACACAGGACCCTTGTGCATACTAGAAAGCCTCTGGACTGGGGCGGCACCAGCCATTGTCCATTTTCATGACTGAAGGGCACATTTTCCAGACACCTTGTTGTCCCACGCCTCGTGGGAAGTAATCCTTTCAGTCTTAGGGGGAGTTTTAACTGCCCCAGGTTCTAACCTCCCATGATGCCTCTAGAGATCTTGCCAATATGGACAAGGCAGAGCATGTGGTGCAGGGAATATCCCAGCTCACCAGCCTTAAGTAGAGAAGTGCTTTGGGAGCAGGAAAGGGGCCACCTGGCACCCACCAGGGAGGCCCCACCTCCAGCGGGGAGCTGTTATTTGAGCAGGGAGCTGGGAGACCCCTGTGAATCCCTTTCTGAGCTCCGCCTGAATCTCTGAGCAGCACAGTCACCATGTCTGTTAGGAACATCCATAATCACTTGAAGAGACAGGCAGGCAGGTACTGGCCCCACTGGAGGCCAGGGGAGGGGTCCCGACTTTAAACCCTTCTGCATTATGGTAGAGGTTTCAGTGTGCTTGCTGCCTTCCAACAGGGGCTAGCCCGCCCTCCTGTGCGCTAGCTCTCCTTGGGAGGTTCACCTCTCCAGGCCCCCTGTCTTCCTTTTTCATAACGCAGCCTTCTCTGTGACAGGTGAGGTGATAAAGCATGGAGACCTGAAATGTGTGCGCAACGAGGGAATGCCCATCTACAAAGCCCCCCTGGAGAAAGGGATGCTGATCATACAGTTCTTAGTAAGTGCAGCATTTACTCCCATGAGACACACACCGTCACACCTTGATGGAAAGCCAAGAAAGCCCATGTCCCCGTGTGCTCACCCCTGCAGGTGGTCTTCCCTGAAAAACACTGGCTTTCTCAGGAGAAGCTCTCTCAGCTGGAGGCCCTGCTCCCCCCTCGGCAGAAGGTGAGGATCACAGAGGACATGGATCAGGTGGAGCTGAAGGAGTTCAATCCCAACGAGCAGAACTGGCGCCAGCACAGGGAAGCCTATGAGGAGGACGAGGACGGGCCCCGCGCTGGTGTGCAGTGCCAGACGGCATGAGGGCGGCGCGGTGTAGCGTGGCCTGGTCGGACTAGCACATGACGAATGTAAACCTGGCACAATGAAAATGGCATGGCTTTAATAGCCTCGTGTTTGGGGTGTCCTGTGTATGTGTTCAGCAGTCTCCATGCTGAGTTGTCTTTTGGGTTTGCTTGTTTCTCTTCTGGTTGTAACTTAAGTTATAGCTTGATTTGTATTTAAATGTTTTAAGTTCAATCATGTCTAGTCTGCATATGGAATCTGTTCATTTGTACTTTCAGGACATACTCTGGAGATGGTAGTACCACACTGACCCTTTGTGCTTTTAGTGGCTTCGCCATGGTTCAGCTCCACAGTAGGCACCCATGGCCACGCTTGGCCCTAACCAAGGCCGCGAAGGTGGGGTCGGGCCCATCTCTAATCTGTGGTTTCTCTTCCCTTCCTCCCTTGGCAGTCACCGAGGGTATGAGCTCAGGTCTGCTAGTATGTCTGGATCTACTCTAGAACTCCCAGACAGTAAAAGCACATGTATGGCTTGCACTTGGCCCAGCATGCCTGTTCACTGAGGAGGCTCCACTCAAAAGCTGCAGGGCCAGTCTAGCTCTACTCTTCTGTCCCTTGAATGGTTGAGGGGTTTGTCTAACCGTCTGTCCTGGAAGTTTTCTGAACTTTCCAGGCCTTGTGATGACAAACTCTTTTTAAGTAAGCCAATAAAGCCATTTGCCTGTGACCCACAACCTTGTTCTTTTTAATGATTATCTGTTGACAACCTTTGCAATGTTGTCCCACCAAAGTGCTTACCCCAAAGAAGGCTAAACCCTCCCATGTCCCTGGCAGCCTCTGTGCAGCTGCAGAAGCACCCAAGGGAGAATGCTGGTGGCTTAGCCCTCCCCCCCCCCCCCCCACATAGCCGCCTAGTGTCTCCTGATGACTTAAGGGTACGCAATGGCACAGAACCCCTCAGTATTTTCACCTTGTTCTCCAGACAGCTCCTTCCTAAAGGCCTGTTCCACTCACTGTACAGCCATACTACACAGGGCTTCCTGCTTGTGAGGTTTGGTGAGAACTGAACTAACCAAGTTCTTCTAGTTAGCTGCCATGAATACCACTGACAATGACAGCTGCCTGGGACGGGTACTAGTTACTACTTTAATCCTGGCAGGTACACTGCACTTTCAATAAAGGCTACCTCAGCCTCTAGCCATTATTACTCCTTTCTCTTTTACAAAGGAAGTTAAACCCCCGCTGCTTAAGCTACTCAACTAACCTGCCAGATCCACCCTTAGTTGTTTTTATGGTACCAGAGAGTTTACACAGACCAAGAACTTCCCCTAGGAAGGTTAAAGGGCAGAACAGACCCATGGCTGGTGGGGGAAGCCAGCAAGCGGGACCCCCAAAACTTGCTGGCTAGTGGAAGATAATTTGCTCAAAGCACAGCAAGTCCACCTATGCCCGTTCTGACCACTGGCCAGGACAGACTCAAAACTGATTCCTCAACTAACGCGATTTATAAACGGACCACAACTCCAGGGTGTTGTTTCTGTGCTGACGTCCTGATCACTGCTGGGGAGTACTGTTTAGCTTGTGATGGGACAAAACTATATTCAGCTCTTCCTTGTTACAAATCTGGGGGCATTGCTCAACCTTCCCACCTGTACACTTGTCACTATAAATTAAAACTGAGCTGGTACGAGAGACAAATGGCTTTGCTTTTTCTTTTCTTGGGCATGCACTAGTGTTAAATGCCAGACCTTCTCACACTGGTAGACAGAAGGAACGAACTTTCTCCTGGGGGATGGGATGAGTGCAGAGGTCAGGGGGTGAACTGCAATGGACAGCTAGAGCAGTGGGGAAGAGCAGAGGGAACGGGGACAAGGACTCCGAGAAGCTGCCATCTGAGGAGCCTCGGAACTGTGAGGGTGCAGACCTGTCTGAGGAGGAGACTGAGGCAGAGGAAACAGGACGGTGTAGCTGTAAGAAGGTGGGCAAGGTGGAGGTGGGAAAGAGTCCAGCGTGGACTGTTCTACCGAGCTGGGCTGAGGATGAGCACAGCATGGCCAGGCACACAGTTCTGGTAAGCAAGCAGCAGCAAGCACCAGGATGTTAGGTCTTAAACTTCCCCCACTACCATGAGACAGTCTGGAGGCGAAGGTGCTGGAACTCTAGCCTGAGGCAGGGTGTTCAGCCCCGTCTGCCAGTCTTGAGCCTGGGACGGTTAGGGCAGACCTCTCTGAAAGGGGGAAATGAGGGTGTGGAGAGGGGGCATTTTAAATATATCACACAGAAGGATCCCTAGGCGGGAAGAATGCCAGAATGTTCCTATGTATCCAGCCTGTTTCCTTCAGAACTCCATTCTGATAGAGGGTGGTGTGTTTAGGACGACCTGAGGGAGCTCAGGGCACATCATCACAAGTCACCCAGGAAAAGAGAGCTGACTTTCTAACCCAGTGAGCGCCTGGATCTCTGTTCCCTCAGGCATGTACTCCCCTTCACTAACAATGCCAAGAGAAAGCGCAGCATGTTCAAAAATGCAGGTGCTTGCATTAAGAATGCTTTATTTACAGTAAAATATGAGCAGCATCTCCAATGAAACAGGAAAAACTTTATACTGTTATCTACAAAATGTACTACACTATATGCTGTATTTTAAGTGTCCCAAGAAGGTAAGGAATGTCATGATCCACCCTGCACACTCTGTGGCCCTGGCCCCGAAGATGCTGTGTTTAAATTGGGCAGTCATAGACATGAATTTCCTGGTCATCTCCAACAGACACAATTTTTGATCCATTTCCATTATATTTTACTCCCCAAACCTGCAAAGAGAAACAAAAGGCATTCTAGTTCCTGTATTTGGGGTAAGGAATGCTTAAGGAATGAACACTGTTACTTACTTCTCCTGCATCTAGACTAGCGCGAGGCCAGTGAGGATGGGGCCTAGCTTCTAACTGGGCCACTTCCTCTGGCTTGTGGTACAGCACTCCCCTCTCTACAACAATCTACTATCCTTTCAAAGGTTGAGAATCCAGAGGTTACCTATGCCATGAGTGATTCCTGCCTGGGCCCAGCACTATGCTCCCAGAGGAGGAGGTGAGGCGAAACTGCAAACCAGTCCCCTCCCTCCTGTGTCCACTCCCACCCATCCACTGTCAGTCGTTAGCCCTTTCTCAAAGACCTGGGAACCAGACATCACGGTACTGAGCACCACTGACTTGTTTAGCTGTGCTTGAATTAGCAGCTTCACACTTCCTCTCAGGATGAATGTGGCTGAGTTAACCTTGTGATTACTAGGAATTCTGTGTGGTCAGACTGTCACCCTCACCTTGAGATTGAAGGCTAGCCTTGGTGTCAGGCCATAGAAGGGCCTCATTTCCATTCCAGACGTCTTTCTCTGAAACACCATCACAACAACCCCACACGATAAGCAGCAGGGCTAGGGTTTACTAAGAAAACTGCTTAAAGCCAGAAGTGGACCACCAAGATTCAACTCAACTTCACTGCCATAATTTAAGGTAAATACAAAGCAGCATGAATTGTTGGTTAACTGTAAGATGCGCTCAATAAAGAAAATGTGTGAGATCTCTAAAAGCATTCAAATACATTAAAAGGCCGGTTTGTTGCTCTGCGTACTTTCACTTTCATGCTGCCCAGTTCCTCGTTCCTTTGGAGTCTAAACCCTTGCTACTTGGAGCTGCCAGGAAGGCAATGATGGCAACATGCAGGAGAGAGTCAGTAGTCTCAGCCAGGCAGGGTGGTTCACACCTGTAATCCTGGCAGGAGGACTGCAGAAAGTTCAAGGCCAGTCTGGGCTAACATGTGAGATTGTTTTAAAAACCCCTTTTCCCTTGCTCAAGAAGGAAGAAAAAGGAAAGGAATCTCAGGTCCACATAGCACCGATGGAATCAGAATCCACTTCTTTTTGGAAGGTGGAGGCTGGGACCAGGCAAGTAAACTACCACTGCAGATCCTCCAGTCTCGGCCTCCAGAGTGCTGGATTACAGGCATTAATTACTGCCCTCAGCTCAGTTCCCTGAGGAGTCTTAGCACAGCAAGGACCAAGAAGGATGGACAACAATGTTACCATTTCCCATTCACCTTACAAAGATAAAGACGGTCTTCCTAAAACGGAAACCAGGCTTAGCACTATCATTACAAGTGAACAAGCTGTAACCTCTATATTTAAAAGAATTACATCCTTGGATAATTCCAAAAATGTAAATGATGACTATGTTAAGCAATGGAACCTCCCAAAGAGGGAGGCTCTTCTAGAAGTCCCCAGAAAAGGGTCCCAGGCTTAGGTGTATAATTTCAAAGAAGAAGGGAGTGTGGTCAGTTGTGTGTTTCGGCATGTGAGCGGACATGCCTCATGGTCACAAGGCTAACATGTCCCAGGGTTCTACCACTCTTAACTCCAACAGAAAGGCTAGTAAAGGGATGTGGCCAGCAAGCTAAACACAAAGGGATTTACATGCTTCTTATTCCGTACCTGATCCTGGTGATCAAAGAAGGTGTGCACACAGGTCCTTGTTCCAACATCCCAAACCTTTACACTTTTGTCAGATGAACTGTTTGGAAAGCAAACGTCAGAATCAGAACACTTGCTTATCCCACACTCCTTTGCAGACTTTCACACTTGGACCTGTAGAGGCCCTTGAGTCAGGTGTCACCAGATGACAATCTTCTCACAGGGCAGCCAAGATTCTCCTCACCGGCTTGGTCGGCCTGCCTGCCAAGTACCATCATCAGGAGCTTCAAGCCTAACTATCATTTTCTGGATGACAGGGAGGTCTGGGGACGTGTCAAAAGCTCCCAGAACCATCTGCAATGCCCTTCGGCTGCCCATCCCATGCTTCTGAAGCTCCTTGGCCTCCAGTGCCCTGGACATCACTGGCATCCATAAACACATTTTATAGGCAGATCTGCAGGTTCTAAGATCCTCTTGGAACACAAGGATATGTCAAGACAGGAAGTGGAAACCTAGACTTTTAAGAAAAAGCTAAGATTTCAATAGTTTAAAAGAACATCTTTGATCAAGCTAAGACTAACCAAGTTCACTATTTAAAAACAATGACGCCCTTTAAAAGCTAAAGTAAACAAAGGCAACTTGAATTTTTGGGGTTTTTGAACAGGGTCTCTCCACATAATTCTAGCTGGCTCTGAACTCACTAAGTAGACTAGTCTGGCCTTGAATTCACAGAGATCCACCTGCCTCTACCTCTCCAGGACTGGGATTAAGGATTGTGCTACCATGCCTGGCCTGGGCAACTTGAATTTTATTTTATTGCTTTAAAAAGTTTTCAATTTTATTTATGTGTCTGAGCATTTTGTCTGAATGTATGTTAGTAGGACAGAACAGGGTGTGGGGTCCCCTGGGACTGGAGTTTCAGATGGTTGTGGGCCGCCATGTGGGTGCTGGAAATCGAAGAGTGGCTGGCCAGCACTCTTAAACTGCTGAGCCATCTCTCCAGCCCCAGAATGGTAAAGTCAGGAAATGTACTATCTCAATTTTAAGGCACACTACCAGAAGACTGCTTCCCATGCCAAGCGTTTTAGAAACGAAGACTCCCACGTACCTGGAGACAAAGTGAGTGTCATCAGGACAGAACGCGACGTTCAGCACCCAGGACGCGTGGCCACTCAGCGTGCCAGCCAGGTTGGCGTGTTGTCTGGAAGGAGAAAGATCCAACAGAATGGCAATGCTAATGTGGGGAACTCTAATTGCTGAACTGGTTAGTGAACTATTAGCTCACATGGCTGGGTGTGATACCAGAATGACCATATGTCACAAATTCCATTTTCAGTGAAGTAGCATCAAACGCCAGACATTTTTATAGCAGCATTAAGTTAAAAATATCAACAGCCTGGAGACTGGAGAGATGGCTCAGCCAACTCCAAGATGAGGAGCCTGAGCAGCAGAGGTGAGCAGGCTAGCCAGACCCTCCTGCAAGAGGATCTTTCCCATGGTGACAGGAAGCAGCAAGACGTGCCTGATGTAATGTATGTGGCTCAACAGAACATTTGTGACCTAGTCAAGAACAAGGCAGACAGCTGGGCGTGGTGGCACATGCCTTTAATCCTAGCATTTGAGAGGCAGAAGAAGGTAGATCTCTGTGATTTTGAGGCCAGCCTGCTCTATATATCAAGTTCCAGGCCAGCTAGGGTTATATAGTAAGACCCTGTCAAAACCAAAAATAGCCGGGCGGTGGTGGCGCACGCCTTTAATCCCAGCACTCGGGAGGCAGAGCCAGGAGGATCTCTGTGAGTTCGAGGCCAGCCTGGACTACCAAGTGAGTTCCAGGAAAGGCGCAAAACTACACAGAGAAACCCTGTCTCGAAAAACCAAAAAAAAAAAAAAAAAAAAAAACCAAAAATAAAACAAAAAACCCCATCAAAACCATATCTTAAAAAGCCAAAAACAAAACAAAACCCCCAAGCTGGCCCAATTCCTACAACCATTTTCATGTTTCTTTATTTTGAAGAAGATTTTTATTTTATGTGCGTGTTCCATCTGTATGCAGGTGCCCATGATGTCTAAAAGGGGGCACCAAACCCCTGGAGCTGGAGTTATAGGTAACTGTGAGGGCCCAGTGTAGGTGCTGGGAACTAAACTCTGGAAGCCTGGCAAGCACTCTTAACTGCTAAGCGATCCATCTCTCCTGGGAAACCAAATGCCTATGACAGGAGTCGCACCCTGGGCCTGAGGT